AAGTCGCATTGGCAATAAGTCAACAATATTTTATTTCTTTATAAATTATTTTCTATCATAAAATTATATAAAACACATTTCTTAACCACTTGAACACCTAGTCAAGTATTGTAGTTTGTTAATCAAAAGTCTAACAATATTACATTACAGTAGCTTACGCTCTGGCTAAGACTATCACTTGCGTGATAGATGTCTCCATCCATTATTTCGGCACTGATCTAATTATTTGCAATCCAAATCTACCAGAGTGGTATGTCTATAGATAGCACTTACTCAGAATTTTTCTACTCTTCACAAGTTTTATTTCAGTATATTCTTCTATAACTACATTCCCTGTATCACTCATACTACTTATACCTATACTCCCAAATTTGATAATTCTCTTTATAAAAAGGCCTTGTACCATATTTGGCTATTCTCAATCTTGGTGAACATTAGCTAATCTGCTCAAGTGAGTCATATCAGTAGGCTCTATACTGATTAGATTAAGCATCTGTTATTAATATCTAGTTTAGTTAGTATACTTGCTAATCTCCATTATCACATTGAGTAGATACTCTCATGTGTTGGTACGAGCTTGCCATATTGCGTTACAAGTTATCTTACAACTTCCAGATAGCAGTTTTCATATTATTTCTTTTCTATAGACTGACAGATTAGGTACCTGTCTAGTAGCTATAGTATTCTGTACTTTAATATTTTTAGATTACAAGATGCTAGGGATATAGACCTAGTTTTGGCTTGCAGTTTGTAATACTTCCAATTTACTTGGTATTCTTTGTTTTCTGGTATACAAAGCTCTATTTGTATTAATGTATTATCAGGCTGGTAAATCTAGCTATTTCGAATTATTATCGCGTACTCTGAGTTTTAGCTTGCTTACTCTGTCATTATAGAATTTTCTCTAATAGGCCAAGTAGCTTGGGGCCAGAGGTGCTTCCAATTCTGGTTAGGAAAATCTTTTTCCACAGGTTGTTCTTGTGTTTTCTACCTTTCTTACTACTCCAGTTACATTACCATTATATCACTCTCCCAAACAAGTACTT